CGTTGACGGCGAGCCATTTTTTTGAGGTCTGTCCCTGTGGACGTTTCCATGCATCCCTACGCGTGGCCCATGTATATATGCATGCATCCATGCACGAGGAACAAAATGTGCAAGCCCCGCCCCCTCTGGCAAGCTCCGCCCACCCGACCAAAAATAATCGGAGATTGCCCAAATTCCAAGAATTTATGCGATTTCCGCCACTTTTGAGAGGCGGAGCTTGCCACTCAGGGGCGGAGTTTGCCTGACGGCGGGCGGGACCTGGCTAGAAGTTGCTTAAGGTCTTTGCGTTCATCTACACCTCATCCATGCTTTTTATGGACAAAAAGGTTCCTTGTGAGAGGCATAGAAGTGGGCGGAGTTTGCCAAAAGGGGCGGGGCTAATACACGGAGTACATCTGATATGTTGATCATATAAAAAAACTGAGGGAATTGGACAGATAGCTTAAAATTAAAGCCGCCGCGCACCATTGCGCGGCGTCGTCCACAGGGACAGGCTGCCTGCCGCGCACCATTGCATGGCACTTTCGTCAACGTGTTAAAAGTCATTGAAGGATCAATTTTCTTCCAAGTGCTAAACTAAGGAAAATAATAAGAATAAAATAATAGAAATCACTGCTTATTTTGCTTTTGGGTACAAGAGAGTAATTAGAACCAAACAATCTCAAAGATAGCTCTATAGACCTGTTTGGATAATTCAGTAGCAGCAATGTCTGCCTTGTATGGAGAAGTAATACCAGTTTCGACAATAAGCCGGATGTACGTCTTGCACACATTAATCAGAACTTCGGGGGTTTCATTTTCCGAAGACCTTAAATAGCTTGTAGACACGAAAGCTTACCAGAGACAGTAGTGTTGTAGTGAGATGTAATGACACTTTTCGAAAATTGTAAAACCCAGGGTCGGTAGTAAACTTGTCGAAACGCGCAGCTTAACGCGCACTCAGAGTTAACTCTGAATTAACACGCACCTTTCAGGGACCATTAACACCTGCATAAACGAACCAAAAGGGGAAGTGATATGGCAGAATACCCCGCAGTACGTAGCTTATGCCAAGTATGGAAGCGTTGCTTAACTCAATCCACGCGAAAGCTACGCGACGAAACGCGCAGTTAAGCTGCGCGTTAGCTCTAAGTTTGGGCGCTTTCGCGAAATTCGGAGTTAACTCTGAATTTGGCCAGAGAAAGAGAAATAGCGTGTCGATGAGGAGGTACAACTAAAAGTCCTCTGAGGTAGATTTTGCTCCGAGCTTCATCAAGCATGATAGGTATCATGGTTCGCTGTTGAACACAAAAATTCAAAATTTTGTAAATTTAGGCCCGGGAGTCATTTGACGTGCTGGTCATAAATACGTTGTTCATTTTTCGCCTTTCGCCCAACATAGCGAGATTACGGTAGGGATACGGTAGTTGCACAAAATTCACAAAATGTCTGAAACTTGGTACCGTGGTTTTTATTGGCACGCTGATCACGATATTCGTTTGTGACAGCGGGGTCGGTAGTAAACCTATCGAAACTCAGAGTTATAACTCAGAGTTAACTCTGAGTTATCTCTGAGCTAACGCGCAACTTTTTGACCCCCTTAACAGGTATTTGAACAGATCATATCCGGAAAGCGATGATATGGCAGGATTCTCCTTAAAACGTAGTTTATTCCTAGTAGCGCAACATTGTCCAAATCGTCCTGCACAGGAAACAGCGCCACCAAACGCGCAACTAGTGTCTGCGATAACTCTGAGTTTGGTGCGAGTTCCAGTCTATCGTGGAACTCAGAGATAACTCTGAGTTTGGTCAGAGAAAGAGAAATAGTGCGCAAAAGAAGAGGGGCAGCTAAAAAGTCCTCTGGGGTACATTTTGCTCGTAGTTTAAGCAGGCATGATTGGGGTATCGTGGTGCGCAGTGATTTACAAAATTTTGAAATTTTGTAAAAACTCGGCCCAGGGGGTTATTCGGTGCGCTAATCACGCATATGGTACCCATTTTTTACTAAGGGGTCATGTAGAGGTGTTACGGTAGGTTTACGGTAGATGGGAGAAAATCACGAAACTAATCGAAACTTGATACACTGGGGTTATTCGGGGCGCCGATAACGAATATGATATGTAGATTATACTGCAGTGTCATCTGACGAGGTTACGGTAGGTTTACGGTAGATGGGAGAAAATCACGAGACTGATCGAAACTTAATACACTGGGGTTATTCGGGGCGCCGATAACGAATATGATATGTAGATTATACTGCAGTGTCATCTGACGGGGTTACGGTAGGTTTACGGTAGATAGGAGAAAATCACGAAACTGATCGAAACTTGGTACACTGGGGTTATTCGGGGCACCGATAACGAACATGACATGTAGATTATACTGCAGTGTCATCTGACGGGGCTACGGTAGGTTTACGGTAGATGAATTAAAAAGGCGGAATTAGCCGAAATTTGGTACACTGGGGTTATTCGGGGCACCGATAACGAACATGACATGTAGATTATACTGCAGTGTCATCTGACGGGGCTACGGTAGGTTTACGGTAGATGAATTAAAAAGGCGGAATTAGCCGAAATTTGGTACACTGGAGTTATTCGGGATGCAGATTACGGACAATCTATCTGCTACATACACTGGTGACATATGGAACGGTTACGGTAGGTATACGGTAAGTAAGACGAAATCATAGAAGGGCAAACTTTGCCCGGAGGATTTATTCTGTGCGCAAATCCTAATAGTCAATTCTTATCATTGCGTATGCCATCAGCTTTCTCTATTGTTTGAAGCTTTCAGCTGCGCAAAAGACCAATCCTCGTGATGAACCATCACTGCCCGATAGAAATGGAAATGAGTGAGGCTTTGGTATAACTTGTTTTGACCTGCTAAGTGTTAATGGAATGAGTGAGTACATTATGGCAAAGCAATTTTAGGGTTCGTGGGTGTGTCATGGTCTAGCGGTTTAGTGATAGGATCTTTACGCGAGACCATACAGGTTCGAGTCCCTACTTTAACGTCGCTTTTGCAGCAAAGTGCTTAACAGCTCCTCAAAGCAAAACTCCGAGCTTGAGAGTTGGAATTCGGAATTACGAAAGCGGAACTCAGAGTTTAAATAAGCGTAACTCAGAGTTTCAGAAACGGAACTCAGAGTTATCTCTGAGTTAACGCGGAGCTTCAAACTCGGAGTTTCGACCAGATTACTACCGACCCGGGTCATTTAGCGAGGTTACGGTAGGTTACGGTAGTTGGGCGCGATTCAAGCAATTGACTGAAACTTCTGGCGTATTTGTTGCGCTGATATTATATTCATTTTTTGGATACGATATTCATTTTTTCCGCGGAGAGATAGAGCAGGGTTACGGTAGAATTTAGTGAAAGCCAAAGCCACATAATAGATTTAAAATTTGCTGGCTCAGTGGCGTTACGCGGTGTGGTGACTACAATCACATTGCCCGTTTTTCACAGCGTTTTGTAACGGAGAATAGATACCGTAGACTATCCAAAAATTACAGGATTTCATAGAAGTTGGCTTGGTGGGATAATTCCGCTTGAAAATACCTTTCGAAAAAGGGGATTCTTTGAATTTACAGTATATGGATGAAAATATCTTGCTTAGAGCTTTGTTTAGGGAAGGTTGAGCTACATATTTAGTTACCAGTGGCGGTCGCAGGGTTTTTGAATTAGCCCCCTTCCTCACCCTAAGCAAAGTTTCAGCAAATATGATTTGATTTTAGCTTCTTACGTGTACCCACCGTAAACCCAGAAAATGACGCTATCGCGCGAAATGACTACGATGTTCGTCATCAGCGCTTCGAATAATTCCTATAAACCGAGTTTGAGCGAGACTCATCACAAAAACAATTTGAGGCCCGGACAGCCGAATAACGCCATCAGTTTTTAGGAATTGTCCCTACTTTTATCGATTTTATTGATTTTTTGCAAAGTTTGAGCTACGCTGAGGGTTGATGAGGAAAGTAGGTGAGCATACTGATTACTAACACAGCCGGAATAGGAATTGCACGTAAAGCTGGGCACAGGGAAAGATTGTACAGAGATAGGAGTGGAACCTTTATCGTTTTTGACAGAGCCGGGCGGAGAGCCGGGTAAGCCAGCTAGTGAAGAGATAAAGAAGAAGCAGTTGGTGGGTCAAGAGTATTGGACATCATTTTGTCGTCATATCGCCAGATTTTCTAGAGAGAGGATGATTCAAGCGGCGAAGAAGAGCGCTTTCATGACAGGGAGGCTTTGGAAATAGTTAAACAATTGAAAGCTAAATATGTAAGGAATTTCTGGTTTTATTACGTTTGATTAGGGCCGATAGAGAAGGAAGTTTGTATGAATAACTTGTCGTAGCGAACACGATGATACCAATATGCCCCAATCATGATTTGCGCTCTAAATTCAGCAGCTGGCTTGTTGCATATCTTCCGTCTCTCGAAACATCCTTGTGTATGGCAAGGCGGTCAATCAGAGCCCGCCGCCTTATATACCCCGTCCCGCGAGGAAATAAGGCGGCGGGCAGTGGCGTACCCAGGATTTCGGCTCGGGGGGGGGGGGGGCGACAAAAATTTTTTTCTGAAGAAGGTGCGTGGCCTTAGCCACGCACTCCGAAAAAATTTTTGGGGTGCTTCTCAAAATTTTTCCGGGTCCCTGACCCCTAAAATCTGGAAAAAGGGGGCATGGCGTCAGCCACGCCCCCGAAAAAAAATTTTTTATAAGGCTAAAATGAATTTTTAAGAAATTTTAAAAATTATTTCAATTATTTACAAGTAAAAACAAGTCACTTGCACATTTTTATAACCCATGTAAGTAACTTTCAAAAATTTCGCGACCCGTTCTCGGGAGGGGGAGCGCGCGCCCCCCCCCCCCCCTCCCCGCCCCCCCTTCCCTTGGTACGCCACTGGCGGCGGGATCTGAGGTCGCCTCATTTCAAGCTCATAGTCAACGATGGAAGGTATAAGGGTGAAAATCGTCGATCTGTTTTCGTATCGGCAGCATTGATGGCGAATTCTTCGTGTTCAATGAAGAGAATATCTACAAAATTGTTCGTGAAGGAAGATCGAAAAAGCCGAGGGCCCTCGGGGGTCGGCAATCGCACCTGGAAGGCACTAACGTGCCTCCTGCTAAAAGGCGTTAAGTTGGTTGGATCACTTCTATTGATTGACTAATTTTTGATTTGCAGGCATTCTCCCCCTCCACCACGCACGCCCAAACTACCACCGCTGAAGGTCACCAGCAGCTCTTCTACTCAACCAGGGAGTGGGACTATCGCTAGCGCATCAAGGACGGACGACGAAGTGGAGCGTATTGTAAAGGCTGTCACAGTCGCTCTTATGAAGAAGGAAAAGCCCAACAAGGAAAATGAAGACCCTTCGGATGCGATTTTCAATGTTAAATAGACTAGCGACCCTACGGGTCGCTAGCAACTCGGTCGGGGCAGGTACAATATAAGGGTTAGTTGTGACTATAAATATTTCTAAAGTTTCCCTCTTCCTTTCCTGAGAACATTTTTGCGAAGAGCATTCTACAGAAGGAGACTTGCTCGAAGGAGCGAAATCTCCACTAATCTAGCATTTCTCGAAATTCCTGCTACAACCATGCATGGAGAATATTATTTTTCTCTTGGTTACCACGCTCTTTCTGCAAATTTCCTCTCCTCATAGAGACACTTCAGATAGAAAACTCTCTCAAAGAAAATTTCTAATTTCTCAAAGAAAATTTGCTCTTCCAGTTCTTCTCAATAAGCTCCTTAAAAGGTTGTTGAGTAATAGCACATATAGTTTTGGAAGTAGAAATACACCCATAACAATTATATGTACTACAAAAAACACTTTTCTCTGAGAATCAATTCCTACAGCAGCGAAATCAATTGTCTAGGAACTTTGTCAGAGACCTTCAATTTTTTCGCCAAAGGAATATGAAGCTTTACTACAAAAGGAGATCGCTCCCCGAAAAAAACGACTGCTGAGCCACCTAAAGACCTTCAATCATATGAACTGCACAAACGTACAAAAACTTGTTTCCCTGTCCGATCAAATTGCCCTACGTGCCGCTTACAAACCAATATTATCTATCTGAAAGACAGTTCATACCTACGTGCCGCATGAAGACCGTTTGAAATTTAAGAACTGCCAAGTGGTAAAAACGAAATCGTTATATGTTACGTAGGATTCGAACCGTTTGCTCAATGCAAGTTGTCATGTTTCAAGTTTTGATGCTGTTAATAAAAAACCTGCTGATGATGTGTAGAACAACGACAGATCAAGTTTAAGTGAGATGTATTGTCCCTTCCGCAGTTGCTGCTACCTTTGATCTGCCTCTTTCTTGCGACACATATGGCTAACATACTGCCAACATAAGGGACAATGAGGAAGCATTTTCTTCTTTGTGACTGCTCCAAAAACAAACATGTTTCGGAAGTGGAGATGATCATGAAGAAAACAAACAAAAAGAGGGCAAAGTGGGAGAAGGGTGCGCAAGGCGGAAGGTGACAATCCTGAAATTTTATGCCTTTCAAAACTCTTAGTTCCTAAAGTGACCCGGCGCTAAGGTAGGGGGGGGGTGGAGGGTGGGGGTGGGGGCAGATACATGACTCGATGTCACAAGTACAATTCTGCCAAAGTCAGCAAGAGCGATTTCATATTGCTTGCATTTTGCGCGCATTGTCGCCTTCCGCGTGCCCCCGGGCAAAGCGTTTTTACTAGGTCGAAATGCACGTCAAAGCTAATACAGTTTCGGAAGCGGTCCTTGAATTTTCGCCCCTTCTCATTTCGTCAATCTCGTTCTGCTTATAATTCTGAGCAAGATGCCCTACGCGTAAAAGTAATGGTTGCTTGATAACTTTAAGAGCTATAGACAAAAACACTTTTTGCAGCTTTTTATCAAATGTTTCAACACAGTTGAAGAAGCTAGCTCTGCGACGTTGTCTACATTATGGAGGCAAGATCTATTGAAGTCGCGAAAAAAATCTGAAGAGAATGAAAATAAAGAAAAAACAAGAGATTTTTGACATGGCTTTCGCCAGAATCGTCGTTTGAACCATAAATGGGCTTTGCGGCGTCATCATCGTGAAAGTAGAGTTCAAGAGCTATAATAGGATATAAGGTTTGCTGCAGTGGATTCAAAATAATAAAGAAATGGGTACCAGAACCAACTGCCCCGTGCCCCGCATTTGGGATAACGAAGTAAGGCGCAGCGCACGGAGACTCAGACGAGCAGAGGAGAAAGACAAGAGCCGATGGGACATTTGATTCCGGTAGTACAGTCTGCCCCAATCCTAACCAGGCCAAAATTGGCTTGGCGGGAGTGCGCGTTGCGAGGGTTTCGCGCCACTTCTGCGTCTAGCTAGTCTGCTCTCTCCTCAGTCTCTTCGCTCTCTGCGACAGCGCGCGTAAGTAGCGCAAACCCCTAGCACTGCGAGCGCGCAAATTCAGCCGACGGTTCGGCCTGATCCCGATTGGGGCAGACTGTAGATCTCCGCGAGTTCTTACCAAAATTCTGCAAAACATTGTATACCAAATTGATCGCCGTGACACGACTGGAAGCACTGACAATGTCGCCGGCGTTAAAAGTCACTCCTTAACAAGAAAACATTCATAGCATTTTCGTGCCAACTTTCTGTGGGAGACTTGAGAAGCGCAGTTTCTAGTTCTCAATGAACTCCAGCAGCTGTGAACTTTTGAACTCATCAGTAGGGTATAGAGTGCTTTTAAGGGAATTGCAGAGCATGTAATCAAGGCGATTATCAAAGGTGCTGGCCAACAAGATGACCTTCGTAAGCATCATACGGCAGACTTACTTTAGCTTTACGGCAAGAGGTCGAAATAGCTGAGTTTTTTGTAGAATCGTCGTCTAAATCATGCATCTTAAGACTTTCAAGGAATTGCGCTATCGTCTAAAGAGTAAAATGGTTTTTTTGTTTGATCCTTGTTTACGCTCTCTTTGGCAATTTTGCCGTACATTATTCCAGTAGGCCAGGCTAAATTTTGTTTTTTATTTATACATCAGAATTTTATTAAGACCGTTTTTCAAAATTTTGCTTCAAGTCATACGATTCAGTACAGAGTATACTTGGGTCCGAATCGAATAGAAATTCGATCATTCGAATAAAACATTCGAATATATTCGTATTCGAAATTCGATAATCGGAGTTCTTCCATTTTCGAGTGATATTCGGAACTCGAATAATCAAAAAACAGGGTTTCGAATAAAATTCGAACTCGAATAATCAAAAAACGAGGTTTCGAATATTATTCGAAAACTCGAATAAGATTTCGAATATTATTCGAATAATCAAAAAACGGGGTTTCGAATAAATTATTCGAATGTTTTATTCGAATGTTCATTCGAATTCGTATTCGAATGACTCCGTTTTCAGATTACTCGACTTTGTTGCAAAGCCAACTGCTGAGAATCAAGCTCACTTCGTCCGCGTTTTTTTTCGCAAAACTCGGTAATGCATCTTTTGCAACCGTTATGACTGTTTGACCTGTATGGAGAGTCGCATTCTTCCGACTGCTTGCGACAGTAAAAAAAATCATATGTGGACTTTAATTGATGTAGAAGAGCAAGCCCTTTGCTTTTACATTGCTGATGCTGATAAGAAATAAAGTTAATTCTGGTGTACATCAGTCTCTTTCAGACCACCTGGGCCGGTAGTAATCCCCCCGACCTGGCGGCAGGTCTCGTCGGCAGGTTGCTGGCACCTTTCCGCGAGGTGGCCAGAAACTAAGAACCGAAATTTAGGCCGTCCCAGGCCTTTTTTCAAAAAATTTTCTCGATAAAGTTGCCGCCTCGACTCTGTAGAAAAGTTCATAAAAATCTGCGGCTCCAGAACTCCTCCTTTAGTAAAATATCTGGAATTCCAGGAGGAACTGCCGGCAACTTCGCGAGGTCAGTTGCCGGCAACCTCCTGCCGGCAAGTTGGCGGAATCCGCGAGATGGCAGCTGCCGGCAGGTCAGAGAGCACGGGAAATAGCGTGCTCTTTTGAGAGAGGGAGCTGCCGGCATCTCGACGTGCCCCTACCACGTCGAGGTGGTGGCACCTTTGCCGACGGCGTCTGCGAGTTTGCGAATTGCGGCGATATCACGCAATTTACGTCAGGCGAAAAAATCAAAACTTCTACTTTTCATCAAAAAACTATCATTTTTCTCATTATACGAGTTTTTCTTTTTTAAAACGACGATTTTCTTACAGAGAAAAAATCTACTAATGCCTTAGAATCATAAAGAACATCATCTTGTTTGGCAATCCCTTATAAATTTCGTTTGCACCGATTTCGCCCCTATCTCGCTCATATCAATCAGCTGTTCTTTCAGGTCAAAGTCTCTCACGCAATGTATCGATCCCTCCTACAGGCAGCCATTTACCAGCGCGTTCTTCCTATTGCTGGTGCAAGCGGCAATCGCTGACCGAATGGTCGAATGGTTAACGTGGTGGCACTTCAAGTTAACGCACATAGGTTCGACCGCGCGGGAGGTAGCAGTTTTGCGGCTGTCTGCGTCATCAAAATTTAGTGTGCGAAATGATGGCGTGCTAAGGTTACATAAGATTATTAAATCCTACAATCACTCCGCGAGCTGCCGGCGGAGTTGGCATCTTTCCGCGATGTGTGCCAACTTGCCGGCATCTATGATGCCACCAGGTAGGGTAGATTACTACCGGCCCTGATGAAGAATCTTTTGGGCACAGCATAAAAATTTATATCGACTGCTTTTTAGATCGTCCATAATGGGTAAAATATGAACTTTTTGCTGATGTGTAGACTAGATGCCGACCGACCAACTTTATCGATTTTTGGGGAAGTTTGAGCTGCGGGGCTGAGAGTTGTACAAGGGGGTAAGCGAGGGTGTTGATTATGAATAAAAATTTACTTTATAAATTTTATCGATTTTTGGAAAATCTCGAGCTACGAGCTTGGGAGTTGGTGCAGGGGGGATGAGGATGCTGATTAAAACCGAAATCTATTTTATCGATTTCAGCAATTTTTGGAAAATTTTGAGCCAGGAGTTGGTATAGGGGATACTAGGGGGCTGATTATGATTGGATCAGCTCTAGCCAGATATGTCGCAAGTTTGAGATGTAATTGCTTTGATTATTCGATAAATCATTCGTATATCTATTCGAAATTCGACTTCCAATGTTCGAATATGTTCGATATTCATTCATTCGATATTTTTGATTCCCCGAATTTATTCGAAATTCATTCATTCGATATTTTTGATTCCCCGAATTTATTCGAAATTCATTCATTCGATATTTTTGATTTCCCGAATTTATTCGATATTCACTCATTCGATGAAAAATCCTTGAATTACCCAAGTATGATACAGAGTCGTCATTGAATTATACGACTTTAAATCTTATCGACATGCAATCACAGGAACACAGGGAATACAAAGACGAGAACAGCAGGAACTTATTTGCAGATTGTTTACATCTATTGCAGACAGAAACACATGCGTTTAACATGACACTGCCATAATCAGTTAAGCGTGAGCAGAAAGATTATGGGAGAGGTTTGGCCTATAGTAGTAACGAAGAAAGGCAAGGGGAGCCTGAATGACCTAAGCAAGTCTTCAAAGGAATGTGGACACTGCGGCATCTTTTGGCAATTGAGTCTTTTCGATCGCATAAGGCTAGGAGAGGGCTTTGCGAGTGGTGGACAAGCATAACGATCGTGATAGGTTGGACAGAAGTGACCTGCATTATGCGCATCCTACCGACCAATCGGACTGATGCTCCACATAATGAAGATCGAAAATATCCCACTATAATAACGCGCTAAGTGTGTTTACGTTTTTTGGGTATCTGTCTGTGTAAATGTCTGTCTGTCACGAAAATCATAGCGCGAGTTCCAGCCAACCTCCTGGGCTCAAATTTTGCACAGCGCATGCTATCCGCATGAAAGTCCAACATGCAAAAGCACGAGCAGATTCGCTGAGTGGATGCCTCAGAAACTGCGCGTCAAACAAATCCACTTTGCATTTGGGCAGCAAAATGGGGTTCGTAATTCCACTTTTTGTAGAATTGTGGATGTTTATGTTAAGTAAATGCGCAAGCCACTTAGGCCCAAAAAAGTGATCAAAAGTCCACTACTTTACAAAAATAGCGCCAAAAACTATTGGCTGCGTAAGTGGTCAAGTTGCCAAGGTTTTACCAGAGCATATGACGAGATTTCTGCACAAAGATGTAGCTCACAGTGACTGCTGTTATTATTGTAAATGTAAGATCATGGAAAAATCAAAAACCTATAAAAATTTGAGTTTGTTTTCCTGTAAAAAGTCTCATCCACGCGAAGGCAAAGATTCCAGCTGTTGATAGGCAGCAAAGCAAAACATTGTACTTACAGCATGTAAGCCTTAAATATCAAAGTAAGAACATCCAAAAAAGGGACCACATCGAGCAATGGGACAAATCAAAGTCAAAGAAAGAAGCAGAAACCTTATAGGATGGTGCTTTCGCCAAAGGAAGTTTCTCAGAGATAAAGCAAAAAGGTAAAGCATTTGGTTATTACTGATAATTTTTCTTGAGCAGGATAGCACTGTATTACATAATCGAAGAGGCCACTGGTGACTAATGAATCTTTACGTGAGTTGCAGTAGTCAGCAATTACATGCTTGATTCAAGAAATATCCCCGGAAAAAATAAGGCACTGAATGGTGCGATTGAGACTTAACCTCGTCGGTTCTCCATGAATGCACCACTCGCTCGTCCTCTCGATTTGTACTACTACAGCACAGTAGAAATAGAGTTGTTAAAATTATGTCATGTCAAATTAGAACCGTCTTTCAATGAATTTGCTGACCTATCTGAAAACTGTTTCATTTTTCTGACAAAGTAATTTTTTCTCTCAAGGTAGCAGCTGTCAAATTTATGAAAAAGCATTCAAAATTGAAAACCTTCCGCAGTTCATTCTTAATGCTCGACATCTTTCACCGTCATTATTATTCTGGCAAGCGGAAGGCGGGACTCATTAGTTTGCAACGATGTTAAGAGTTAGTACGCTGCGCGAGCTTGCTTCGCTTTCAAAGCGGAAACTTCTTTTGCATTAGCAGCGATAGTCAACATAAAATGGGTCGTGAAGTTACTTGAGTTTTTATTTGAGCTGCGAAGTTGCATGTCACGAGGAAAATCTTATTAGCCAACTCAATATTTATCCTTCTTGCTCAAATGCTTTAAATCTATTCACGAAACGTGTTTAACGAGCTGCAGTTACCAAAAAATTGCAATTGAATTTTGAAGCCGACATACCACAAACAACTTCTTCGGAGAACGTTTTCAGTGCACTTACTGAAATAACAGAAACTTGCTTGCCCTAGAGTTTTTTTTTCAACTTCGCGAAAAACGTTTTGTTCAAGTTGTAGCATGCGTATAAACCATCTACCCAACTGCGCAAGTCTGCACGATCCAAATCCACCATCGCAGTAAAATACCCGCCACTCCCGACGAAATCACTGGGTATGCGCCAATTTTGATAGATACCTCAATAATCCGAAATTGAGTACCTACGACGCCTCAAATGCTTAACATAATTCAATTTGAGATGGCTAAGTCGAAATTCAGCAGCTCAAAAGTATTGTTTGCGCAAAATCAGCGGTGATAAGACAGTAATGTAATACAGACGGGTTTACAATCAGATTCCAACCGCCTTTATAGAACGCTTAAACGAAAAAATCCTATGATAGAATCTTTAGAGCGTCAAGCAGGAAAACTTGATTTTGATACGAACTATTACAGGAAAACTCGAAAAGTGAGTAAAGCTGACGTGAAAATATGGAGTGGCCAAAGTTTTGAGTCTCGCTGCACATGCCTTATCTGGCCTAACGCGGTGTTTTTAATTTTTCTCTTCTTCTTTCCATTGAATTCCTGATGTGAACTTTAAAAACATTGCAAAAAGGACAAAGGACGTCAAGAAACTAAATTCATATAGCTTAAAAGAATACAAGAAGAAAAAAAAGAAGAAGCATAGAATTACCCTGACAAATGCATTTCTGAGATGTGTTCATGTGACATTAATCCATGTCCCGTACAACTCAAATTTGCGGACGACAAACTTTATTCATTACGCGGACGGATGTGAGCACAAGTTGGCCTCTGTGCCGAGCTCAATTTCGACGTTCCAGTATTCCCATACTTTTTTTCCTCCACGTATATACTTTGGTGGAATGTATATGCAGACCTCCTTTATTTTCGGATTGAGTCCATCCTGAACATCATTCGTGTGATCTTGTAAGCTTAGTAATTCAACGTTCTTTCGGAAATGTAAATGTTCATCATCAAAGAAAAAACAAACAGTACACATTTACGGTTGCAACAAGAGTAAATGCGGAGTTGTGGATTCATTGATATCTCGAATATAGTGCCTGAAATTTTGAAAAATCCATTTTTGTCCGCTGCGGCGACATCCAGGCATTTTATGGAAAAAACTGAAATCGTAATTTAAAATGAAACTCAGCTTTGCATTTCAACTCACATCTTCTTTGACACAAAAGCATAAATGCTCGAGCAGCGGGTTTACCGTTACAAAGAAGAAATCCCCTTGCTCCAGCTGTCTGCCACCTCGGGATCATCGAGTTCAAACAGTAGCATGATGAGAGAACAAACGAGAAGATCAGTACTCGCATTCTGCAATCATGCCTTTTATTTGCCGTATGACAAGTAATGTACAATTTGAGAAAGACAATAATTACTTCACATAGATCTGGTAGGTAACTCTTACTAACCAAGCTTACTGATAATGATTGCGTGATAACTTTATTACTGCATGTTCCTCATGCTACCGCAGGAGATCAGAAATTGGAGAGAAGAAAAGATTGGAAAAAATTGTAGAAACACAAGATTCGATAAAGCAAGCCCTCAGGGTACCACTAAAGCAATCGCCTGATGATTTCTGCGTTAAATAAGCTAAAGAATATAATCTTGAATCCTTTGAAGAATGTTGCCACTCAAACTTCCCTATGCCTATACTGTCCGCACGAGTTTTTCTTAGAAAGACATCGTATTTTTCTCGTACCTAAAAATGAGAAATGGAATGCTGCAAACGAATCATTGTTGGCTTGTACATGAGCATTTCTATCTTCGCAAGTACAAACTGGGGATTTTCAGTTTTTGCGAGCACTCTTTGTCAGAAAACAAGAAATGTGACTAAAGACCAGAAATTAGCTCTAAAAACCGAGAATTAGCAATTTTCCTAACTTCACATTTTGCCTTTCGTATAACAGTTACGGCAAAATTACAACTGTCTTTGCTATACTTTGAGGGAATATACGGGAGCAACTTAGATGCTGGAACTTTCGAAAAGAAATTCGATCGTTGGGTCTTCGAAATTTATTAGACCTTGCATTCAAACTTCTTACGAGTCAGTCCTTGTGCGAACACTGCTTTGCTCTTAAACGAAAAATTTGATCCATGGAAGAGCATTAGTATTAATAAACTGTTTCAGCTCTGGGAAGGATGAGGTCTTTTCAAATGAAACAACACCGTCGAAACAACGAAAGTGGACTGGTAAGGAATGCGTCTCAGCGGCTATTTATTGTAAGGAATTTCGATCTGATCGCAGCATATTTTGATTTTTTGGTATAGGAAATTGTTAATGCATTGATGTATTTGTCCAATTGGCGTTCGGAAGCATTGCTAAACTGTGAAAAAGGGATCAAAGCTTAAAGACATCAATTTTAAAAGTTAACGAGCCAGCAATAAACCTGACAAAGCATCAGGCATTCCTTGAAACATTCAGCAGGTAGCATGGGGATAGACTAAGAAACATAAAAACGGCCGAAAGTAGTAGAACACTCGACTTCTCCCACTAAGGCATTTTTTCGCATTCTATCTCAGTATTTCTCTCAGAGTTGAGTTTATGCCCGAATGAATTTGATTTGAGGAAGTGCTAATGCACCGTTAGAGCAAGAAAATATGCAATATTCTGTAACATGTTGGATAGATATTTGCATATTCTGAGGTTTTTTTCATTTTCTGAATCTTCCCACTTTTCTGCTAAAAGATGCGAAAGAATCTGCAACAAACAGGCACTTTCGCACATAACATTCGACTGCAACGCGTGGTGGTCGAAAGTTTGAGCCTATAGCTGAGGCCGAATATTCGAATAAACTATTCGAAAATTTGGTTATTTGATTGATCCAGTTAAATATATGAAAGAGACAGCGAATTTAACATTCGTTTATTATGCCAGTTGAGAAAATGGCTTGTCCGATACGATTTTTTTATGTCACAAAAAAAGCACCTACTCAAATATCCGAATATGGTGGAACCGATTTCGTGCTCAACAAGTTTTTAAGATTTGACTGTTCCAATATTCGGATAGTTTGATATTCGCAATTTCATTTATTCAATTATTCGATTAGTTTAAATATTTCTTCATTCAATCCATGATAACTTATTCGAGTATGAATATCATGACTTACAATAAAGAGCGCATCTGTCTGTTTGTCTGTGTGTGTTTGTGTTTACAGTTGAGCAGCATTCTCGAACATTAATTTTGTCGATGACAATGAGATGAAGCACGAATGTAAAAATATAAATTAATTAAGATTTGGAAAAAACCCGCTCCTGCATTTGTAAAATTCCAAAGACTCAAGAACATTGAAGTAAGCAACTTCGTGAAAAGTCAAGCCAAGCTACTTTATTTTGCACTGACGCCGTTTTCAAATTGTTTTACTTGATTCAGTCCTGATCAGGGTCAAGCAAGGGGTGTGGCATACGATCGCTGGTTACGACCCCCCCCCCCTGATTGCTGTCTTAACAAGACCCCCCCCCCCCTGAACTATATGCCTAAGATAGCATTACCAGAGTTGAGAAAGAGGTCAGGCGCAAGTCTTTCGAACCTCCCCCCTCCCCCCCCCATAAAAACCCTCAAACGACCCCTTCTTCCTCCTCTTAACCTCTGGACCTCAAAGTGTAACATTCTGGAGGACACCATCTTTTTCTAGAGAGTTTTCGGATTCCTGAGAGCTGTACGCCTGATTTTCTGTGACTGCACTTTACAATCACACGTAATTTGACGGCTGATTTTGATCTGAATGGGCATATTGAAAGGGCCATAATTTTCTTATGGGTGGGATTGGCTCCAGATTTCCAATGTAGCAAGAAAAAGCTATGTGCTCAATACTCATACCAGCAATGGAGCGCTTTCTGGTTTTGAAGGCAAGTTAATGGGGTGCGGCACACCCCCTTAAAAGCTGCGGCTGCCGCAGCTTTTAAGGGGGTGTGCCGCACCCCATTAACTGTACAAAAAAAACATTTTTAGCGGACAATATTTATATGAATCGATAGCCTAAACCTTGTAGATTCCACAGGACTATTTGGAGCCTGACTTGTCTTCTTAGCTCTAAGTAATATTTGGTGAAAGCACAGCGATCAAAAGCGAAAAATGGGAAAAACGAGATTTTGGTTGGCTTCTAATTCCACAGTTTGCAAGTCTTCTGAAGCGAGATTCCTGAGGTGGACAAAGAGGGAGTAGTGCTTTGTCATGAGTGCAAAAACGGATAGCTAATTCACCTTTGAAATAAAGTTAACCATGTTGGAATTTGACCATTTCATTTAGGTAGCCTAATATCTTGAATCTTCATTCGCTCAAACTTTGTCTACAAGGGTTAATTGAAATGCTAATTATAAATATGATACGAATATCATGTTATCACTATTATCAGATTACTCAACTACGCCCCCTCCCCTTTTGACTCCTCATTACGACCCCCAGGTGTGGCATGCCGCACCCCACGCTTGACCCTGGTCCTGACACTGCTATCCACCCTCGGAAAAAACATTTTCGGTGCTTGATAAATTTTCTCTATTTGAGTAACAGAGTCGCTGTCGCCGCATTGAGTACCTTAGGCCATTGCGACAGTAGCTTGGCCCTGCATTGGATTTGTGATGCATGCTGTGGGCATTTTCCAATGTCTAGCAGCTACTGAAGAGTAAACGGTGAATGCTGACACAGAGATGGGTAGCATTTGGGAAGCATAGCAACTATATACTTCGTATGTATTGTTTTCAAGATAAATAGGATGGAACGTTTGATGACCATCCTTTTCTCATGCAGAGACGAACGCTTGTAAGAGATAAAACAGTTCTAAATGAGATTCGCATTTCCAAAAAATACAAAACTTCTCACAAAGAAGAATCCATTTGAGCGATTTGCCCATCGTTGGTGCAGAACTATCGACGACATCGCCCATTTTGAGAGTATAGCCGTCCAAAAAGGCCAACGATTCGTCGCAGCGTCAATCTAACACAGACGTGGCGGGACCACACAGTTGGGGGCGAGTGCGCTGCGGACTCGAAACATAGGTCCGAGACTGAATTCACGATGCGACTGGGATCGCAGGTATGCCTTAGGCCCTCTCCAGCAGACAATAAAGCCGCATTCGCGCCCAAAGGACTGCGCCTTGTCATCCAGCAGCCTGTATGTGAAAACTGTTGGCGTCTGTGCTGGGTTCCAGTGGTTTGTTTCTTATTTTGCTCTTCTTGACAAGGTTCCGGCAAATTTCTTTATTTGAGCGCCTGGCTCTCGGTTAATATTTTACAAACATTGCAAATACAGGGTTCTTGGCCTAAGTTTCTATCTCAAAGTGGCGTTCCAATTAGGTGAAACTAATGTATAGGCGCTGTTGGCAGCTTCAATGTTTTCGAGATAAATATAGTTCAAGATATACGTAAAACACAAATACAAAACTACAAAGTGCATGTCGGCTAGGAACGCGCCGCTGTGGCTGTTCACGTACTATGATGGCTAAATTCACTGGTCTTAAAATCAAATTATAGTTGCTTAAAGTAGGAGATCTTACAAAGAAAGGGTTATTAGTCGGAGCGGCCACGAATATGTAGAAATCGCCTTCTTAGGCGATTTCTACATATCCTGAAGAGAATGAAAGCTGATTCCAAATTTAAGCTATTCGCCGTCGTCTTCTAGACACCCGGTTTTGAGCGATTTTGAGGTTAGAAATGAACGCACATTTGAAATACATCATTGAAAATTGATCAGCTGAGTACTGTATATCAGGGAAAGCAACGGATACGTATTATTTTACAATGCCGGAACTTACCACAGCGATAGTCAACGTAAAATGGATCGTGAAGTTAGTTGAGTTTTTATTTGAGCTTCGAAGTTGCATGTCAAGAGGAAAATCTTTATTAGCCAACTCAATTTTTATCCTTCTTGCTCAAATGCTTTAAATCTATTCAACTGGAAACGTGTTCAACGAGCTGCAGTTACCAAAAAATCGCAGTTGAATTTTGAAGCCGACATACCATAAACAACAACGTCTTCGGAGAACGTTTTCAGTGCACTTACTGAAATAACAGAAACTTGCTTGCCCTAGAGTTTTTTTTTCAACTTCGCGAAAAACGTTTTGTTCAAGTTGTAGCATGCGTATAAACCATCTACCCGACTGTGCAAGTCTGCACGATCCGAATCCACCATCGCAGTAAAATACCCGCCACTCCCGATAAATCACTGGGTATGCGCCAATTTTGATAGATAATATCTCCTGCGTGACGAAGGCGGTTGCCCAAATAGGTTGAAGCGTGTCGCGCACGCGACGCGCTTCAACCTATTTGGGCAACCGCCTTCGTCACCAGGAGATATTACCTCAATACTCCGAAATTGCAGTACCTAGAACGCCCCAAATGCTTAACATAATTCAATTTAAGTGGGCTAATTCGAAATTCCGCAGCTCAAAAAGCATTGTTTGCGCAAAATCAGCGGTGATAAGACAGTAATGTAATATAGACGGGTTTACAATCAGATTCCAGGCGCCTTTATAGAACGCTTAAACGAAAAATTCCTATGATAGAATCTTCAAACCGTCAAGCAGGAAAACTTGATTTTAATACGAACTATTTCAGGAGAACTCGGAAAGTGAGTAAAGCTGACGTGAAAATATGGAGTGGCCAAAGTTTTTGAGTTTCGCTGCACATGCCTTATTTGGCCCAACGCGGTGTTTAAATTTTTACCTTCTTCTTTCCATTGAAGTCCTGATGTGAACTTTAAAAACATTGCAAAAAGGACGGAGGACGTCAAGAAACTAAATTCATATAGCTTAAAGGAATACAAGAAGAAAAAAAGAAGCATAGAATTACTCTGACAAATGCATTTCTAAGATGTGTTCATGTGACATTGATTCATGTCCCGTACAACTCAAATTTGCGGACGACAGTCTTTAATCATTGCGCGGAGGGATGTGAGCACAAGTTGGCCTCTGTGCCGATCACAATATCGACGTTCCAGTATTCCCATACTTTTTTTCCTTCGCGTATACACTTTGGTGGAATGTACATGCAGACATCCTTCACATTCGATCTATCCTGAACATCATTCGTGTGACTTGTAAGCTTAGTAATTCAACGTTCTTTCAGAAATGTAAATGTTATCCGTACTCCGTTCAGCTACTCCGTTTCGTTCCTGCCCTTAGACGAAGTAAATATGTAAATACTTTTACTCCGTCTAAGGGCAGGAACGAAACGGAGTTTTTGGTTATTTACACATTACATTGAAAAATTTTACTTCTCATTATCAAAGAAAAAACAAACAGTATCCTTTTACGATTGCACCAAGTGTGAATGCGGAGTTGTGGACGAATTGAGAAATAATCTCTAATAGTGCCTGAAACCATTTTTGTCCGTTGAGGTGGTACCCAGCACTTTTTTGGAAACTGAAATCATAATTTAAAGTGGAGCTCAGCTTTGCATTTCTACTCACAGTAACCTTTGTCATACAAAACCAGAATTACTCCAGCAGCGGGTTTATTGTTACAAAGAAGTAATCCCATTGTTCCAGCTGTCTGCCACCTCGGGTTGATCGGGGTGAGAAGACAGTAGCATGATGAGAGAACAAACGAGAAGATCAGTACTCGCATTCTGCAATCATGCCTTTTATTTGCCTTATGACAAGTGATTACAATTTGGGAAAGACAATAACTAGTTTACATAGATCTGGTAACTCTTACTAACCAAACTTACTGATGATGATTGCATGATAACTTTATTACTGCATGTTCCTCATGCTACCGCAGGAGATCAGAAATTGGCGAGAAGAAAAGATTGAAAAAAATTGTAGAAACACAAGATTCGATAAAGCAAGCCCTCAAGGTACCACTAGAGCAATCGCCTGATGATTTCTGCGTTAAATAAGCTTAAGAATATAATCTTGAATCTTTTGAAGAATGTTGCCACTCAAACTTCCCTATGCCTATACTCTCCGCACGAGTTTTTCTTAGAAAGACATGGTATTTCTCTCGTAGCTAAAAATGAGAACCGGAATGCTGTAAACGAATCATTGTTGGCTTGTACATGAGCATTTCTATCTTCGCAAGAACCAACTGGAGATTTTCAGTTTTTGCGAGCACTGTTTGTCAGGAAACAAGAAATATGACTAAAGGCCAAAAATTAGCTCTAAAAACCGAGAATTAGCAATTTTCCTAATTTCACCTTATTTTGCCTTTCGTATACCAGTTACAGCAAAATTACAACTGTCCTTGCTATACTTTGAGGGAATATACAGGAACAACTTAGATCCTGGAACTTTCAAAAAGAAATTCGATCGTTGGGTCTTCGAACTTTATTAGACTTGAATTCAAACTTCTTGTGAGTCAGTCCTTGCGCGGATCCTGCTTTGCTCTTAAAAGAAAAATCTGATCCATGGAAGAGCATTAGTGTTAATAAAATGTTTCAGCTTCGGGAAGGATGAGGTTTTTTCAAATGAAACACAACATCGTCGAAACAACGAAAGTGGACTGGTAAGGAATGCGTCTCAGCGGCTATTTATTGTAAGAAATTTCGATATGATTGCAGCATATTTTGATTTTTTTTTGGTATAGGAAATTGGTAATGCATTGATGCATTTGTCCAATAGGCGTTCGAAAGCATTGCTAAACTGCAAAAAAGAGATGAAAGCTCAAAAACATCAATTTTAAGAGTAACGAGCCAGCAATAAAGTTGACAAAACATTAACCATTCCTTGATACATTCGGCAGGTGGCATGGGGATGAAATACCAAGAAACATAAAAACGACCCAAAGCAGTAGAAAACCCGGCCCCTCTCTCTAAGGCATTTTTTCGTGTTGCATCTCAGTATTTCTCTCAGAGTCGAGTTTGTGCTCGAATGAATTTATTCGAGGAAGTGCTAATGCACAGTTAGAGCAAGAAAATATGCAATATTCTTTACTTCTTAGTATGTCAAATCTTCTGATGGGTGAAGGGAAAATGAGGCTAAAACAAAATTTGGACTTTCGATCAAAAAATGTCTGTCCTGCGTATATGTCGTTCTTTGGCAGCCTGGATATGCACCGGCGCTTTTTCTTGCTGCATAAGCAATAATATAACCAGACAAAAGAAGATTTTCCATTGATTCAATATTTGCAACTAAAAAAGAGTCACTTCCGTACTTTTATAGGTGTGGTTATCGATATTTGCATATTCTGAGGTTTTTTTCAGTTTCCAAATCTTCCCACTTTTCTGCTAGAAGATGCGAAAGAATCTACAACAAACAGGCACCTTCGCACATAATATTCGACTGCAACGCGTGGTGGTCGAATGGTTGAGCCTGTAGCTGGGGCCGAATATTCGAACAAACTATTCGAAAAATTTGGTTATTTGATTAATCCAGTTGAATATATGAAAGAGACAGCGATTTTAACAATCGTTTATCATGCCAGTTGAGAAAATGGCTTGTCTGAATATTCGATTTTTTAATGTCATGAATAAGCACCTACTCAGATATCCGAATATTTGAAAGCATGATGGAACCGATTTCGTGCTTAACAAGTTTTAGATATTTGACTATTCCAATATTCAGATAGTTTAATATTCGCAAAATTTCATTTATTCAATTATTCGATTAGTATAGATATTTTTCAACTCATGATAACTTATACGAATGTGGATATCATGACTTACAATAAAGAGTGTATCTGTCTGTTTGTCTGTGTATGTTTGTGTTTACAGTTAAGCAGCATTCTCGAACATTAGTTTTGTCGATGACAATGAGATGAAGCACGAATGTAAAAATATAAATCAAATAAGATTTGGAAAAAACCCGTTCCTGCATTTGTAAAATTCCGAAGACTAAAGAACATTGCAGTAAGCAACTTCATGAAAAGCCAAGCCATGCTACTTCATTTTGTACTGACGCTGTTTTCAAATTGTTTTACTTGATTCATTCCTGACACTGCTATCCACCCTCGGAAAAAATATTTTCGGTGCTTGATAAATTTTCTCTATTTGAGTAACAGAGTCGCTGTCGCCGCATTGAGTGCCTTAGGCCATTGCGACACGTAGCTTGGCCCTGCATTGGATTTGTGATGCATACAGTGGGCATATTCCAATGTCTAGCAGCTACTGAAGAGTAGTGGACATAGTCATTGGTCCGAAGGAGAAGCTACAATTGTAGAATTGGCGCAGCTGTCTAACGGAGGCGGTTGCTGTTCAGGGCATAGGTGGGATAGTGTGAGAATTTGCTCACCCTCCCTTCATCCTTGAACCGGGACCAAAGTGATCGCCTTCACCAAAAACCAAGAAGAAGAATCAACAGTGAGGTAAGATTAAGCAAAAGAGATATTTGTACGGGAATTAATTGTGTATCGGAAAGGACGAAGTAGATTTATAGGCATTCACGAACTCCGAGGAGGAAAAAAATAGTAGCTGCTGTTGAACAGCAACGTCAGCGAGGAAAGTTCCGTGGTACAACATCCCACTCTGGTTTCAAAGAATAAATAGTTTGCCTAGAGTCCGTCCATAGAAGTACTTAGTTAAAGGTGTGCCTAGTGATTTCTGGACACTTACGAGTTTTCAACATTAAAAAAATTCATAAATTTTGCAGATGAATAGCTTGTACATGGGAATAGTCACCATCAAAGCCGCCTTGTCCTCCGTTTTCAGGAAATAGTGTCCCAAAAATATGCACTCACTGGGTAATGAAGTGTTTCGGGAAGCTTTAGGTACCATTTTGAAGAGCGAATTCAACTTAAATTCACAGTATAGAGCAAATCACTCATCTCTCTTCATTATGTAGGATTACAATGGAAGCTTCAAAGAGGGTTTTGAGCCATGAAAGACCATATTTTGACTCAGAAAGGAAACAAAACAGCCTGAGAACTTTTATAGGCCAAGTAGAGCTGCTGATTCTAAGTGTAAAGTTCCCAACTTACTATGATGCTCCTTTGAAGAGTTATGCCATGTAAGAGGGATAGCGCCATTTTTTCAATGTTCCTAAAAAGTGCGGTTACACCGCTGTTTAGGAAGCTTCGCAATCTTGTGAACAGTTGAGTATTGAACTGAGCGTCCATAAAAACCCTATTACACAGTTTTCACATTTTTTTTGAAAAATTTTGAAACGGCAGCTTTTTTCACATTGACACCATATGTTTCAAGTTTCTACCGTAATCCTACAGTAATGAAGAGAGATGGATGATTTGCTCTATACTGTAATCCTAGTTGAACTTCGCTCTACAAAATGGTGCCTAAAGCTTCCCGAAACACTTCATTACAAGAGAGTTATTTACAATCAAACAATGAGTACATTTTTTGGGGCACCCTGTATATAGCATGTCTCAGATCCGTTCAAAGCGTTTGGGCGAAGAGTATGCCTAGTGATTTTTGAAGATTTTTGAGTTTTTAATGTAAAAAAAAATCCATGGCTTTTGCAGATGAACTTGTACGAGTTGTAATCACCATTGGAACCGTCTCGTCCTCCGCTTTCAGATGCCTGCGGTCCTTTAAAAAAGTGCCGGGTTTTCACAATGGTAAAAAAGCCTCCACTTGAGGCTTGAGCCTCCGCTCGAGGTATGCCTGAGGTTGCATTCATACCGCGCCGGCTACGGAACTTGTTCGTTGCAGCGTCTCAACCATTTTCCCACTTCAGTTCTGAATTTTTAGTACCTTGCTCACGCACTTTCCACCGTCGTTCGAGAGGAAATGGTTTGTTCGTGAAAAAACCTGAGAAAAGAATAGGAAATAAATTTTTTAGTCACACATAAAGTTGTAGAAATAGCATTTTTTCCGTTGTAAAAAGTGGTGCCGCATTGATTGAACGCAAGGCTATCATCTTATATATGAAGGTGAACTCTGTTTATCTGTCTGAGTGTTTGTTTGTCTGTAAGTCTGTCTGTGTGTACGTATGTTCCGAAAAAAAATTTTTTCTGAATCGATCCAGACCAAACTTGGCACACGTACATTTCGGAGAGCGGCGGGTGTCGTAGGCTACCTTTTTTCATCGTTCAATATCTATTTTGTCGATTTTTATTGATTTTATTGATTGCAAAGATTGAGCTACGGGGCTGGGAGCAGAGGTGCGATAGTCGGAGCCGATTTTCCGCCTACCTTCACTTTTGAGCTGGTACAGAGTGACCACCTTCACTTTTGGGTTTCGATCTTTTTTGCTGAAATTAAAAAAAAGGAAATTACGCAAAACGAACGCAAAAGAATGCAACCTGCTGCGCTTAGGCAGTTCAGACGGGTTCGGACGTATTTGGGCGGGTTTAAGCGGGTTCCGGCGCGGTCTGAACGACCCCTAATGCTCGCGATTTCATATCTCTGCACACAAAGGGCAGGTGTACGCAAACTGAGCAAGCTGTTCTTGTGCGATATGCTTTATTCCACTCACTTCACTCTCAGCATAGAGCCCTCATGCCGATCGTGATGAAAGCTAGTACAAAGAATTCTCACACTTTGCCCACCTTTCACCAAATCAATCCAATTTTCACGAGCTTACCAGTTCTTAACATAGTGAATCTCACCTAGGAACGTCGGCCTCTGGAAGCGAACAGCTACTATTAAGACACTCTTCACCAAATTTTTAGGTGGAACAAACTAGTACGTGGATTTTGTAGTGCTCTAGCAAAGACCCACATTAAACGCCTTTTC